AGAGAGAGAGAGAGAGAGAGAGAGAGAGAGAGAGAGAGAGAGAGAGAGAGAGAGAGAGAAGGGGGGATGGCAGCCATAGCTGTCAAGCTCGGGGCAAGAGACGACCAGCGAGAAGAAGAGAGACACAGAGAAAAGGAAGAAGAAGGTGACCAAGAGGGAGACAAAGTCAGCCATAGCCAAGGTGGAAAAGACAAAGGTTTTGACGAAGAAGAAGAAGGTCCACCGTAGCCGGAAGGTTGGAAGGTTGACCAGGGAGTTGACCAACGTTGACCAGGAGTTGAAACGTTGACCAACATTGACCGGATGTTGACCAAGAGTTGACCAAGGGTGTTGAGCGGGTGTTGACAAAAGTTGACCAGGGAGTAGACCAGGGAGTTGACCAGGGAGTTGACCAGGGAGTTGACCAGGGAGTTGACCAGGGAGTTGACCAGGGAGTTGACCAGGAGCGTTGACCGACGAGTTGACCAAAACCGTTGACCGGAGCGTCGACCCAGCTGGAGCGAGAAGATTACCAGTACCATCTCTCCATGCCCTGGCCTACCCCTTACCCCGTGGATGTGCACCTTCACCTTGGTACCTGCTGATGTCAAGTCTGTCAAAGTCAGTCAGTCCTATCTCCCTGTCACTTCTGTCCAGGTTGGTAGGATTCTGTGTATGTGGTCATAAAACTGTAAGTCTAGCCCGAGTAGTGAGTCAAAACCCCTCGATAGAAGTTAACCTGTTTGGTCTACGTGTTGAGGCGCGGAATCGTTGTTGATTGTGCACTTTTTCCGTGGTGACCACTGGGACTGGGTTTAGTACCACGCCCTACAGCAAGGAGCAAGAAGAGAGAGCTGCCGCCCTTCTGCGTGAAAGGAAGGAAAAGATGGAGAAAAGGGAATTAATCAAGCAGGCCAAGATGTTGGCCCTGCTGGAGGAACAAGAGGCAAAGAAGAGGCAGATGGAGGAGGAGCTGAAGAAGGAGTAGGAGGAGAAGATGGCGGCTATACAAGACGAGGTGGAGAAAGAAGAAGAAGAAGAAGAAGAAGAAGAAGAAGAAGAAGAAGAAGTAGAGGAAGAAGAGCCATTGGAGAGAAGGAGAGAGGAAGCGAGCACAAGCAAAGAAATTGAGATTGCAAGGATTGCAGAAGAGTGGGCCGCACATTTGGAGCTGGGGGAAGATAGGGAGGCCGAGATGGCCATTCCCCAGGAAGAGAGAAGCAGCAAGGAGGCAGATTGAGAGAGAAAGGGACCCGGTGAGGAGAAAGGCGAAGGAGGAAGAACAAGGCGTACAATCTTTACTAATTGCACACCACGAACGAGCGCAGTATATTCGCAGTTTAGAAGTAAAGGTAGATGCAATGCGCGTCGGGTTCAAAAATTTTGCGAGTGACATGATGAAATACTTATTGGCCAAAGTCCACAATGCAATTAGTAAGACCCGAGCGTTCTGTACTAGCGCCATTGAAGGCGCCAAGTTAGTGACTCCTAAGGAAGAGGAGCCGGCCCCACCACGCCGTGAGAAACTCAAGGTTCGTTTTCCCGAACCCTTCAGTGGAAAGAAGCGTGAGGATTTCAACAACTGGGAGGCCAATGTGCACTCCTACTTGTACTTACAGGGAGTCACGCCTGAGGACCATGTTTTGGTTGCCTTCCAGGCCTTCGAGACGAGGCAACTACCTTTGCTAGGTCGCTAGCCCGCGTTGCGAACTGTGATAACGATATGGTGACGTATTCGAGACTGACACCTCTCTCAGAGTTCCTGAAATCGCTCAGGGAGCGATTCTCAGATGTGACGCGGAAACTCAAAGCCTCCGACAAAAAAATGATACACACTCGCCAGTGGAAGAGTGTGCACGCCCTCAAGTCCGCCATGGATTGCGGTCCCTGGGCATGGAGTGTGCCGGACCCGTCGGGATGGCGGTCCGACAGGATGGAGACGAAGGGGTAGAGGAAGGAGGAAGTGGAGATAGAGCTGGAAGGGACAGCGCAGCTCCGATGCAGACTCAACACCGCACGTACTCCAACAAGTGCAAAAATGATGAATGATGAAAAACAGACAACAACTGGGGTATCCCCTAGCGGACTGACTGACTCGAGTGGACTGGCCTGGTACCGACAGTGGTACCGGGCAGGACTGGAACAGCACACGGCCTCTGGGGTCAGGCCACGGCCTGGTCCCACAGGTCGAACTGGCAAATAGCCGAATAGGCCCTGGCTGTAAGCTAAGGGGGAGCCTGGAATAGCGTGGAGATATGCCTAACTGAAGGCATGCAAGGGCCAACACTAGGGTGATGAGGGCAGTGGGTGAGGGAAACATGCACACAACTCACCGACTGGGGGAGGAGGGAGCTAGATCTGGGAGCAAGGAAGCCAACATAACGCTACAGTCCCAATGCCTATGCGATACCAAGGGAGAGCCCAACTCAAAGGGACCCAGCTAAGTGAGAACCATCATGCAACAGATGCAAGGGAATGTATAGGGTAGGGTGGTGGCGTGAAGTAGTCACGTCCAAAGTAGTGGAAGCGGATAAGATGGCTGAAGTCGAGAAGGTGACTGAAGTCATCGAAGTGGTCGATGACGTCGATGAAGTAGGAGTCGAGGTCGATGCCGAAGCAGAGCCGCAAAACGCTAACATCCTGAAGAAGTTGATGATGGAGTACCTGATGGTGTGAGTCAGTAGGGTGACAGTAGGTGATCAGAGTGTCAATCGTCAAGACGCCGAGGACGTCGACGAGTGCACTGTGGACGCGCGGAGGCGTCCATCTGTTGCTGAGGAACGGCCTCAGGGGGAGCGGGCTCGTCCCCAGCAATCTCCTCAGTCGGAGGAGGAGGAAGAGGGTCAGTCGACTGAGTAGGAGCATATGTCTCAGCACGATGAGCACGATCATATGCACGCACTAACATCCGGGCGTGCTCCAAGTGCTCGAGGGGCTCCCAAGTAGCCTCCTCATCAGGATAGCCTTTCCAACGCACAAGGTACTCGATGCGTGGAGGGGTATCGTCGGTAACTCGGCGAGATACGATGTCGGAAACAACGAACTCCTCGTGACTGTCCACTGTAAGTGGCGTGCATCGACGAGCACATCATCACCGACTTTGAATGGGTGATCCATTCGTGATCGGTTTGCTCGTGCGTCCATGCGAGACTGGGAATCGGCTAAACTCTCGTGTGCGCACTTAATAATCGCCGCCATGTGGGCTATCCAGTCATCCAGCGCAGGACAACGAGTGTCTGGGCGCAACCGCGATGGTCGTAGGAAGTCCGGGGGTACGCGAGGGTGGTAGCCGAGGTCGCAATAGAATGGCGACATCCTCGTTGCTGGCAAAACAACGTGGTTGTACGCAATCTCCGCGTGGGCTAAGTGTAAGTCCCACTGCTGGTCATCCTTAACAAACTTTCGGAGGAAATTACCGAGAGTTTTATTGGTGACCTCAGTCTGACCATCCGTCTGAGGGTGGTAAGACGATGAGAAGCGGAGTTGCCGTACATCTCGTGTAGGCGTCGCCAGAATGTGCTGGTAAAGCGCGGGTCACGGTTGGAGATGATGCTCTGAGGTAAGCCGTGATCTCTCACGACTCGGTCGAAGACGATGTCGGCGACCTCACGGGCGCTAATGCGATAGCGGCACGGGACAAAATGTGCACGCTTCGTGAAGCGATCGACGACGACCAAGATAGCATCATGACCGCGCTCGGTGGGTGGGCGGAGGGGACCAATGAAATCCATCGAGATGGACTGCCAACGACCCTCGGGTATGGGTAAGGGCTGAAGTAACCCATACGGGAGATGGTTCGCACTGTTCACCCCCTGATAGGTAGGACACTCCTGGATGTAGGGTTTGACGAAGTCCTTGGATTTCGGTCGGACGTATAGGCGGCAAACACGAGCCAACGGCTTGTGGAAGCCCATATGACCGGCAACTGCCTGGTCTTGGAACTCTGCTACAACCTGGACACGGAACTGTCCGGTGGAGGGAACGCAGATACGTGGTTCCAGCTGACCAGATCTGCCATGCCAGTACTCGAGACCGTTCTCACCCAGGGAGTATGAGGGAACGATCTTGCCACTCTGCAGTGTCGCGTGGATGACGCGATAATCCGGGCAGTGACGGTACTGGGTGCGATATGCGTCGATCACCGACTGATTAACAGTGGTGATGGAGATGGCAGCAAGATGGATGGGTTCCTGATTGTGATCAGGACGGTGGGACAAGGCATCGGCGACGCGGTTCGTTTCACCCTTGATGGGYTGAGTGGTGAAACTGAACTCGGATAATTCACGCCAACAACTGAGTTGTCCATACGCACCGTGAAGGGCGCCCCGTGCAGGTAATGATGCCAATGCCGGGTAGCATAAACTACTGCGAGAACCTCATGTTCATCGGCAGTGTAGTTTATCTCGGCAGGCAGTAGCTGACGGGAGTAGAAGGCGATCAGGCAATCCCCAGCACGAGCCTCAACAGTCCCATCCTCCGCGATGGTCGGGGAGTAAGTAATGGGAGGACTGTCAACGGAGGGAAGTGGTGGGAGAATAGGCATCAGTCGAGAAGCAGTGTCAGCAGGAGGGGGGGGGAAAGGAGGAACATGGGGATAAGGTGAATCAGGAGGAGAGGGAAACACCTGAGAAAGTACTGCTCTTACTGCAAAATCTGACGCATCAGTGGTGACGATGAAGGGGCGATCAAAATCTGGGAGGCGAAGAATCGACGCACCAGTCACCGCCTTCTTGAGGGCGCGGAAGGCGTCCTCGCAGAGGGGTGTCCAAAACCACGACGGGTTCTTCCGGAGGAGGGTGGAGGTAAGGACGTAGGAATACCCAGCGTATCCCTGGATAAAATTACTATAGTAGTTGTTGAGGCCTAGGAAACTGCGAAGCTGCTTGGCAGATGTGGGGACGGGCCACTCTGCGATAGCAGTGATCTTCGCGTCGTTCATGTGGAGACCCTGGTCAGACACATGGTGTCCTAGGAAGTCCACTTTGCGTTGGGCAAAGTGGCACTTACTAAGCTTGGCATAGAAGTCATGCTTGCGTAAGCGTTGTAGGACATCACGAAGGTGTCTGATATGGTCTTCTAAGGTACGACTGTAGACCAAGATGTCGTCCAGGTATATGAGAACGTATTCTTCGAGGATGTCCTTGAAGATGTCGTTCATCGCCGTGTGGAAGGTGGCGGGTGCATTGGTGAGGCCGAATGGCATCACCGTGAACTCGTAGTGGTCGAAGCGCGACTGGAAGGCGATCTTCGGTCGATCCTCTGCAACAACGTGGATCTGGTGATAACCGCTACGAAGATCGATCTTCGTGAAGAAGCGGTTGCCTGCTAGACGGTCAAATAGCTCATCTGCGCGGGGCATGGGATAGTTGTCCTTAACCGTGTAACGGTTAAGGCCGCGGTAGTCGATGCAGAGGTGGAGAGTTCCGTCCGCTTTGCGAGTGCGAGCAAAGAGGACAGGTGCACCCCAAGGGGAGTTACTGGGTTTAATGAAACCCAGTCGAAGGAGCTCCTCAAGCTGACGCTAGAGTTCCGTCGCCTTTGGAATCGAGAGTCGGTACGGTGCCTGATGGTGAACACGATAGTCAGGCACGAGCTGGATAGAATGCTCAACACCGCGCATTGGAGGGATCCCGTTGTATGAGAAATACGGAGGGAAGGCGTCGCGGTACTCTTGAATCAGGTCGCGAACGGCGGGCTCTAAGTCTGTCGTGAACCGTGTGAGTTCCTCAATGTTTACGTCGGCATGAGACGTATGTGTGGACTCGACAGTCGACGGCGCAGGGGCCGGGGACGTGGAGGGGGTATCCGCAGGCTGACGGGTGGACGTAGAAATGGGAGCCGCGAAGATGGAGGAAGGGTCAGGGGGATCGGGCTCCAGAGAGATGAGCTCAACCTCGGGACAGAGTGGATCATAGTGAAGAAGATCCATGATGTTCACTTAGTAGAACGTGACGTCCTCGTGTCGTATGAAGTGAGCAAACCGACGAGGGGAAGTGAAGGCGATGTCGGGGTGGGACCCTGAGGGACGAGGGTCCTAGGGAGGTAGGTCGGGAGGGGTGTCGCCCGTGGTTCCAATGAAGGGGACGTGATGGGTCTGACCACACTTCATTTTGAGAACGAGTGTCTCGGTCGCCCATTCGGCCTCTGTGCTACGGAACCGGCGAGACCAGGGAGTGCCAAGGATAAAGTTGTACCCAGTCTCCAACACGTCGAAGTATGCGGAGGAATGGTAGCGTCGAGGCGCATGGGTACTATCCGGTGGCTGGAGGGTGAGGGAGAAGTGGAGGTCGGGGACCGTGTGATCGAAGAAGCGATGTGTCTTGTTATCTCCGAGGGTAACGGAGATAGGAGAGCGGGACCCAGAGGTAGCTAGGCGAGCTTCCTCAACCACTCGAGGGTGAACGAAATCTCCCTGCGAGCCAGAGTCCCATAAAGCGCCATACACCCTTGTAGATGTCCCTAGGCGAATAGGGATAATGGGTAGGGTGGGATCAAGGTCAGAAAGGAGAGCGAGAAGACGGCGCAGGACGTTGACGTGTCTCGTGAGTCGCTCCTGACGAGCCTGAAGAACGCTAAAGTCCAGGAGAGATGACACAACATCATCGCGAGTCGCCAGCTGAGCGCTACAACGGGCTGTGCGAATGGCGCGACGCGTCGAAAGTCTCGGAGGGGAAGCACTAGATGCGGCGGTCCGCTGTGAGGCAAACGGTACCTCGACAGACGACGGGGCAGAGGGAACTGCGTCTGTCGTGTCCTGAGGATCCTCTGGTGGGGTAGCCAAAAGGGCAGACCGCGACTCGGTGGTCGGGAAGCCGGCTATGTGCGAGGGCTCAGTGGTACACTGCACCGTGGCTAGCTGGGTGGGGCTGGTTGGGCGGGCCGGGGGGGGGACTGAGATCGACGCTGACGAGAGATGTCAGCATAGTGCCAATCGAGGGCGGTATGGTATGGACACCGTGAGGAGGTGTGTCCATCCAGGCGGCAACGAAGGCAGCCGCGCCGGGCCTCAAGGGCGGCACGCTCCTCAGGGGATAGAGCTTCGCGAGGAGGGACAAAACCCTGCGGGAGGTCTATCTGAGGAACTGTGGGTGTGCGGGCGCCAGCCTGTGCAACCCGACTGCGCGCACGACCCATCGCAGACATGGCCATCTGCAGGCGCTCGGCCACCGGGACAGTGTCGTCATCCAAGTGGTACTGGATGACGTCCCGAAGCTCGATGTCCTCGGGGGTGTCCCCAGTGGTAGGGTCGAGCTCGGCTGAGGCGTCCTCTTCATACTCGAGAGAACTGTAGTGCCGAGAGAATGGCGCTCCAGGTCGAGCCGGACGACGAAAACGACCAGCGAAAGAGGAGCGGCCTCTGGTGGTACCACGAGACTGGGAGGTGGCGGCTGGCGGCAAAGAGGATGGGGAGACGGAGAAGTGACTGCACATCCTTTGGTATTGACGCGCAGCCTCGTATGCCTGATCCGCGGAAGAGAATGATCGCCTCCATAGCTCTAAGCGGTAGTTAGTCGGCAGGCTGACGAGGAACCGGTCGGTAAGTGTGACCTCCGGTAGGAACGTCTCGTCACAAATAAGGCGGGCATCTTGAAACACCCGGATGTGACGCTCAAGGTCAGCCGGTGTAGAGGACCCGAACCATCGTTTCTGGGTGACGCGGTCTATAGCGTCAGTGGCGTCATGACGAGCGCCAAAGCGGTCCTGAAGGAAAGCCGCGAAGTCTGCAAGAGTAGGGACCTCACCCACGCGGAGGCGCTGGGTATAATAGTCCTCCCACGCAGTGGAAGGGCTACCTCGCAATTTGGTTGCGAGCACATTGCACCACAACTCCTGACGGGTGGTCGTCATAGAGAGTGTGCGCGTTGCTATCTGCAACCAGCGAGAGACACGGGATGTGCCATCATACTTGGGAATGTCCGTGGTGCGCACGGGAGGATGTCCACTATGCTGATGGCGGGGGGAGAGAGATCGAGGCGAGTGCACTGCGGCGACGTAAGTTGGGGCCGCTGCAGGGGCAGAGGTGGGGGAAGGTTGTGGGCCGTGGCCGCTGGCGGATGGGCCACCAGACAAGGAGGCAACAACAGATCGACGCGAGT